TAAGAATCAACGAGAAACACACATTTCTTACCTAGATACCTAGGTAGGCGGAAAGATAAACGGCTCGAGCAGGAAGCGGAGAGAATTCAAGTACACAGACTCCTGTTGGTCACAAGATTCTTATGAAGCATTGCAGGGAGGCCGATAATTGTACTCATATTCTTGAACGGACGAATCTGATCCTGACTACGACAACATATGATGAAATTCTCGTCAGAACCTCAATCAAGAACACTCTAGCATGGAGATAATCGAGATAGAAAAGACCAATTATTACCTGCTTTACAATCCACATGAATCTAAGTTCTTTCATTTATTTATTATACATACATCTTTAGAAATTCACAAGCTCTTTGGCTCGCTGATTTGCAAAATTCTCCGAGGAATTTTATGAGTCTTTGTTGTTCCAAGGGCTGCAGAATCTGGATTCGTATGATGGCAACATAAAGAAAAAGAAGTCGATGTTCACTTTACAGCAAGTAGCCGTCCCAGGTATTGATTCAAAACATGGCTTGTCTGAGACTTGACCAAAAAGAAAGTCATCAAACGCATGGACAGCCCACACAAGACAAGCCGAGCGGTTGATGCAGGTGCAAACTGCAATAATACAAAAGAGCACATGAAAAGCAATATGTGATCTCACAGACCAAACATACTAGACAAGTCAGGAGCTAGAAAGCTGATACTCGAATACAACCAAGGATTGAAAAGCATCACGAACATGCAGCTTACAGTGACATGCATACTCAGTCGTTCAAGGAATGGGATGGCGAACATGCACGCCTGGTGTGACAAGATCTTGCATCTTTTCTACGAATCGGAGCGCGAGACTTTAGGAAAATGAGCACCAAAGAGACCGAAATGTTAGCTCGAACGAGCAGCCGGGAAATGGTTGGTTTGGTCCGCGTGAGAGATCTGTTTGTCGCTATGAGCCATGGACAAGATACCTGCCTAGAAGAATACGGAAGACACTCTTATAAAGAGACATCTTGTACACTCCCCGTTACAAGTGTCTGTGTTCTTCAGCTAGGATCCAAGCCATCTCTCAGCATACCTGTCTACCTATACAAGAACGGGCTTCAGATCCAGAGCATTTCAGCTACCAATCTAGATACTGACCTTAGAACATATTGACTTTCCGTAACAAGCCTCATTACTTCTGCATGTTTATGACCTGGGATACATCTACGAAAGACTTACGTTGACTACACTAAAAACCGACTTTAGCAACCAACGCAGGTATGTTGCTTTGGTTGAAATTGTTTTTCATCGGTCACCACAATAGCCTTCCTATTCATTGTCATTTCACTGGCTTTAATTTCGGTCTTTCTGGATTCTTACCTAGCTTCATGGACTTCGACATTGCGTTTCCTGATGCTCGCGATGCTGTTCATGCTGATATCTGGATAGCCTCGGTCCTCGCACGAATATCACCACTGCCCAAGTATCCATCGCTCTGGTTCGCATTTGACAACAGAACAATAGGCAGACAACGTGATTATCACTGGAGATATTCTCAACCATTCTACGCAAGGTACATAATTATTCTGATTCTTACCCATGATACCCCTTTTCATTGTCTAATCCTGAAGTACTTACATAATATTGACAAGCTCCTGTCGTTCTACAAACTTGGGAGGTGCTTCCTTCCAATATAATTCATTGTGTGGAAGTGGCAGGCAGGACCTCGCTTCGCAGCTCTTGCCAGCTACAACAAATAATTCACCTTCCTAAGATTGACACTGTCAGAAATCCTGAGGCTGTCACAGGGTCCGCATTGAATTTCTCTTCTTCCTCTTCTTCTTATTATTCCTCCCCATTGTTCAAGATTCATCCAAACATCTTTCATCCGACCTTGTCACTCAACATCAACAGTGTTTTGACAACATTTTTTTGCGTGGACATAGGTTTTACTGATAGCATCATTCTTGCCTCTTTCTCAACAGCAGAAGGTCCTTCCTCTTTCATCAGTATACCTCTTTCCGGCATCATCATTTTTGTGCACTATTAGGTAGGTGCTTGCTTCATCCTTTCTCTTCCTCTATTTCCCCTATATCTTCCCTCCTCTCCTCTCGTCCTCTCTTTGTCTTCTTCATCTTCTTTCCACAGACCTCATTCGACACTCCTCATACCTCCAATCTCTTCTGTACTCCATCTTGCACGCTATCGTGGTTAATTTACTTACCCTCGCTTCATCTCAGTCTTGGTACCCCAGAGTTCGCCCATCAACTGCTTGATCATCATTCAAGCCCTTGAGGTAAGATCTTTGCCCTAGTCACTCTGTTCTCACACATTCACTCCTTTCTCTCGTCAATGCAATACCAGTGTTGGATGTTCTGTTCGAGTACTTGGGAGCACCAACCCTACCAAGTTGCCATGCCCTTTGGTCGTCACCCACACATGCATTTCTCAACTGACAACCTGGATACAGCCAGATTTTCACACATCCACCGATTATTCGCATCTTGCACTGCCTTTTGCAGCCGATCTGTTGCTTGTGAGGTGAGGTGTTTGTAGTTACCCCTCTGGATGTTCAATCTGGCCCAGCAATATTCCTTTTCATCTTTTAAACCCAACCAAGTCGCGGCCTTTATCACGACGAAATGAAAAATTGACTGACATTTGCCTAGATATCTCAGTCATACATCCTCATTCAATGGCAACCATCGAACAGGCCACTGGTGCGGCACCTTTCCTCTCCAACCAGCCTGATAGGCGACCTCAGCATCTCGCTATCCCTGGCTCTACCGATCACAATGCTTTGTTGGGCCACTTTCAGGGGTTGAGCCTTACGGGCATGACTTTGTCTGCTCCCCAGGGCGCGCCTGTTCCCATGCCACCACCCTACATGGTTTCTCCCGATGGACTCATTCTTGCCTCCATGCCAGGCTCACAGTCGGTTGCCCTTAACCACCCGAATGAATCGGCCTATCCTGGCTACCAGATGAATGGAGCCTATGCGAACCCATATGCTCTATCCGGGCCTCTCATCCCCTTCACCCCTGCTCGCGCCAATGCTGGACATCCTCGTGGTGATCGAACTCAGTCCGAAGTTCCAGGTTTGGAGAATCGCCGCGGCTCCTACTCGACCACAGAGTCTGCACCTGCTACCCCCTTTTACGGGAGCTGGCCACATCGTGAGCATGGTCCCCGAGTTCACAGCGATCGATCAGCGTACACAACTCCTTCTCCCCACCAACTCCTCGGCTCTCACCACGTCGAAGCTACGACTAAGGCAAAGCCTTCTCCAGTGTCTGATCACGTCCTGGATGAGATTTTGGCAAAGGAACCAGCCATTCCTACGGCAGTTCCTGCAGTTTTCACGCCTGCAGGTCAGATGAAGAGCCTTGAACAAAGCCTCGAAAATCGAATCCCCGGCAACCGCAATGTCTATATCCGTGGCCTTTACCCGACCACTGATGATCATACCCTCTATCAATTCACTTCCCGTTTCGGTGAAGTTGAGACGTCCAAGGCTATCATTGACACTGCCACCGGTGCGTGCAAAGGGTACGTTTCGTTACGCAAACCTTTGAACAAACAACGACTAACAAAGACAAGGTTTGGCTTCGCAAAGTTCTTTGACGTTGCTCACTCTGAGATGTGTATTCGCGGATTCCATCGTCTTGGATACGAAGTCGGCTTTGCTAGGGCATGTTCCCCAAACCCATGGATGAGTGTTGAGAAGGTAAACTGACACTTTTTCTCAGGAGTCTTTCAACTCTCGTCTCAAGGCTGAGGGCGACGACGACTCTACCAACCTGTACATCTCGAATCTTCCCAAGTCTCTGACAGAAGTGGTACGTTTTGAAAACCATGGCTCAATATTTTCTACAGCCTCTAACTGCTGCTAGGAGCTCGGCGCCATTTTCAGGGATTATACGATCTTGTCCAGCAAGATCCTTCGTGATAGCATGGGGAACAGCCGCGGAGTTGGTTTCGCTCGGTAGGTTCTCAGGGCCAAGGATGAGTGTATGTGGCTAACAGAAGCACAGCTTTGAGAACCGAGACATTTGCGATGAAGTTATCGAGAGGTTCCATGGTTCGAGTGTTGGCGATGAAGGACTTCTCATGAACATTCGCTACGCTGATACTCCAGCTCAGAAGGAACTGAAGCGAGTCACCGCTGAGCGTCGTCAGTTCCGAACGAACGAGTACAACATCGGGGCCTACGGCACACCCCTCGTCGGCTATGGTGGCTCCATGTACCCTCACCACGCCCAGAACCGACGAGCAGCCATCCCCATCACCCGGCCGTTAGTTTTGATGCACATTGTTTTTTCACATAGGCTAACACTTTCCTAGTCCCATGCCCCCGGCTCCCTCTGTGTCCGATACCAACAATGAGACTCGACGCCTGGCTTCTCAGCGTCAATCCATTGGGTATGAGACAGGGCTGCCCCGGGGTTCTGTGACTTTTTTCTAACCCTTGGTATAGGACGGCTGCTATCGGGAGCACCGATGAAGTGATTGCCACACCCGCCTCATCCGAATGCGGTGAGAACACCACCGTTCACGTGGATGCAGTGGTGGCTGGCTCATCCTTCGATGCGTCCCCTTCAATCAAGAAGGAAATCAAGAAGGACGTAAAGAGGGAGATCAAGAAGGAGATCTAAGATCTCGAACTGCCAACTGTTGAAAAGGATTTCTATCTGTCTGGTGACGCCGGAACCCGCGCTTTCATTTATCATTCGTCTCTCGTTGTTTTCTGTCTTGGAGTGTTTGGCTCAAGCATCAACAGTGTAGCCATTGCGGAACATCTTATGGTCTGAGGTAGCTGTTACACTCGAGGAATTCATGCCATGATATGATGTCATGAGCTTTTGTAGTTTAGATTCGGGGGCTTCGCGCCAAAAAAGTCAGAGGAGGGCGTTTAGAGAGAATTTTCTTAATGTCATAGAATTCCTTCAGTTACTTTGCGTCGCAGATTTGTTGCGAGCGAAGACATGCTTGGTTGGCCTTGTTGAGTCTTCTAAGATATGGGTATCATTGTATTTCATTTATACTGTCAGTTTTGACATACTCTCCTCTACCATATCCTCTTTCGAAGCCATAGCATCGTCGCCAAGTAGACCGCCTGATACCTGGCCATCATGAGGGTGTTCTGTGTTATCTGCCTCACTGTTTTCACTCTCTTCGTCACTGTCTTCACCTTCATCTTCATCGTCTTCGTCCCCACTATATTGAGCCGTTTGGTCCCCCTTTTCCTTGATAGCAGCCTCGAGATCTTTCAACATCCTCTTTGTAAAGCCAGAAGCCTCCACCGCAGCGTCGAGTCGTTTCACGCCATCTTTACCCACTGTCTTTTTCGCATGCTTGAAAAAGGGACCGGGTTCTGTTGGAACAAAGTGAAATCTGCGCTCAAAGAAGCGCTTGATGCAGTTCACGTCTCGATCGAAGTACATCTCGGCATTTTGATGTTCCATGGAAATCATTTGGGGGAAGTCAATAATGACAGGCTCGAGTGTCAGGGTCTCCTCTCCATGCTCGGATTTGGTAATGTTCTCCTTGATCAGGATGTTGAATTCATTGAAATCACCATGAATCAGTCCTTGTTTGGCGAGTCGGAGGATCAAAGCAATGAGTTCAGCATACAAAGATGCCGGATCAGGAACCTCCGCTATCTGTCGAAGAGGAAAAGCGTCTATTAAAGACATGACAATTGTGTGCCGTGATTGTGCAATGGGCTCGGGGACGGGGAAGCCTTCTTCACGTAGAGCCTTCATGAAAGCAAACTCTTTCATGGCAGCGAGCCGTGAAAGATACATCCATGATCCAGATTGTCGATTCTTAAGGTAGTCTCGATTCGATTTGACGGTTCGGAAAGAAATTCGACCCAGTCGATGGATCTTGAGGACTCGTTGGGTGCCACTATGATCCGCCACAACCATGATATCACTCTCTTTACCCACACCAATTCTGTCTCCTACACTGTAGACATCTTTTTTCTTGGCATAGGTGTGAAGTGCAAGGTAATCGAGTCCACCATATGTGAGTCGATATCCATCATATTTTGCCTCCTTCACGCGCGCAATGAGACCGACTTTGGCAAGGGCTGAGATACTCTTATGAACGCTTCCGGCACCACCACGAAGGCGTGAAATCTTTTCGATCAATGATGTCGGGACAAGTTCGTGGTTCTTGCTTCCCATTTCGACCTATGATTGGTTTAAGTCTTGTGTCAAACTGTGATGAACAGGGCATATGCATACTGCTGTCAGAACTCGCCAATCCTCAGAGGCGAGGTGGCGCATTGCCCGTGTATCTAACTTCATGATGGGCACTTATCTAGAGAGTTCCAGGAGAAATTCTTGAACCTCTATCTCAAGGATTTGTTGAAAACTGATGTTTTTTGTTGTTTGAAGTCGGAGGGGTCGATGTTGTATGGTGGGGTTATTTTTTCTCGAAGATCTTATCGCTCGTTATCAAAAGTCTGCGTGCTTGGCAATATGGGTCCCCTTGTACTGGATTGCACGTGATGAGGCTGGGGATAGCCAGGCGGCAGCGCTTCGCGTAACCCAGCAGAGAGCTACCGCTACCTACAGCAAAGCACCTTGAGCTTAGCCAAGCAGCCTCCATCACTTTCCATCCACAGCAACCCACGACCACATAGCACAACACTCAAAACTGACACGCCGCAATCACTGAGGATACAGCTCAGGCTCATACAGTAGTTTACTTTTCTGTCTTTTTTCTGCTGCCAGTCTATTCATTGACTCTACCAGGCGTCTAGGCCTACAACATCAACATGGCTCAAGACAGCGAGGTGCCCAAGGCGGCCGACAAGGGCAAGGGCAAGGCCGTCGACGATGCGAAGAAGGACAAGCAGCAGACAAACGGAAACAAAGAGGACGAGAAAATTGAGAGTATGAGGCCCCGCCGTTTGCACGAAATGATGTACTGACTAGGGACCCAGCTGCTGAGGAGGAGCTCAACGAGGAGGACCAACAACTGAAGAATGAGCTTGAATTGCTGGTCGAGCGCTTGACCGTAAGTTTATCCGCAAACAAGTCTTTGGTTCAATGGTCTAAACAACATACAGGAGCCAAACACGGAACTTTACAAGCCCGCCCTTGAAGCAATGAAGAACTTGATAAAGACGTCCACGTCATCCATGACAGCAGTTCCAAAGCCCCTCAAATTCCTACGACCGCATTACGAGTCCTTGACGAAACTTTTCGAGCAGTGGCCCGAGGGCGAAGACAGGACTTCGCTGGCGGATGTTCTTTCCGTCATCGGTATGACGTTTTCAGATGAAGACCGACAAGACACACTGTTTTACAGACTTCAAGCGCCTTCATCTGACATCAGCTCGTGGGGCCACGAGTATACCAGACATCTCGCGCTTGAGATTGGAGAAGTGTATGGAAAGCGAATCGCAAATGACGAGTCCACCAAGGACCTGATCGACTTGGCGCTTGTTTTGATCCCCCTCTTCCTCAAGAGCAATGCCGAGGCCGATGCCGTGGATCTTATGAGCGAACTCGAAATCATTGAGGAAATGCCCAAGTTCGTGGACGAGAACACATACGCTCGTGTATGCTTGTACATGTCTTCGATGGTGAACCTCCTCACCTACCCCGACAACGAGACGTTTCTCAAGACTGCACACGACATTTACATGGAATACAAGCAGTTTGCACAGGCTATGGTCCTTGCAATTCGTCTACACGATTACGAACTCATTAAGTCCGATTTCGAAAAGGCTGAAGACCCTGCCCTTCAGAAGCAGCTCGCGTTTCTAACTGCTCGGCAAAGGATAGCTCTCAATGCCGACGACCAGTCCGAAGAGAACACTGCCCTTGTAGAGTCCCTCGGCAACCTGAAGCTATCGGAACATTTCAAGTCACTGGGCAAGGAGCTCAACATCCTGGAGCCAAAGACTACCGAGGATATCTACAAGAGCCACCTGGAGAGCAGTCGAGTTGCAGGAATGACCAACTTGGACTCTGCTCGGCATAACCTTGCAGCGGCATTCGTCAATGCTTTTGTGAATGCTGGTTTCGGCAACGATAAAATGATGCTCGTCGACGGTGAGAAGGAGACCTGGGTCTGGAAGACCAAAGCCGATGGCATGATGTCTACCGTTGCCTCCATGGGCACTCTTTTGATGTGGGATATCGAGAATGGGCTTGACAAGATCGATAAGTACACGTACTCTTCAGAGACAGAGATTTCGGCTGGCGCAATGCTTGCTATTGGAATCATGAATTCGGGCGTAGTAATGGACTCAGATCCAGCTATTGCCCTGTTGGCTGATCAGGACAAGCTTGAACATCCTAACCCCCTCGTCAGGACTGCCTGCATCATGGGTCTTGGACTGGCTTATGCCGGGTCTAACAAGGAAGAGGTTCTCGAGCACTTGCTACCCATGATATCTGATGCTAGTGTTGATATGCAGATTTCGGCAATGGCTGCTTTATCCTGCGGTCTTATCTTCACTGGCTCTTCTCACCCGGAAATTAGTGAGGCCATTATTACTACTCTAATGGATGATGATCGCAAAAACCAACTGACTGACAAGTGGACACGATTCTTGGCTCTTGGTCTTGGTCTTCTGTTCTTTGGACGACAAGAAGAGGTTGATGTTATCCTCGAAACCCTGAAGGCCATCGAGCATCCTATGGCCAAGTCGACGGCCGTCATGGCTGAGATTTGCGCCTGGGCCGGTACTGGTGCTGTCCTTAAGATCCAGGAGCTTCTCCATATCTGCAATGAGCATCAAGAGGAGTCTGAAGAGAAGAGGGGCGACGAACTTCTACAGGCTTATGCGGTAATTGGTATTGCACTTGTGGCTATGGGTGAAGATATTGGACAAGAAATGGTCCTGCGTCAGTTCGGTCATCTCATGCACTACGGTGAGGCCAACATTCGAAAAGCTGTGCCCCTTGCCATGGGTCTCATTAGCCCCAGCAACCCTCAAATGAAGGTGTACGATACCCTCTCAAGATACAGTCACGACAATGATCCTGAGGTTGCTATCAACGCCATCTTTGCCATGGGTCTTCTGGGTGCAGGCACCAACAATGCCCGATTAGCTCAGCTGCTTCGACAACTCGCCAGTTATTACCACCGTGACCAGGATGCTCTATTTATGGTGCGAATCGCCCAGGGTCTCCTCCACATGGGTAAGGGTACCCTATCAATCAGTCCCTTCCACACCGATCGTCAGGTTCTGTCCCGTGTAGCGGCCGCTGGTCTGCTTGCTACTCTTGTTGCTATGATTGAGCCCAAAGAGTTTATCACCGGCCAGTCACATTACCTCCTCTACTTCCTTGTCACGGCCATGCACCCCCGCTTCCTTGTTACCTTGGACGAAGACCTCAAGCCTCTCAAGGTCAATGTCCGTGTGGGTCAAGCCGTCGATGTCGTTGGCCAAGCTGGTCGTCCCAAGACAATCACTGGCTGGCAAACTCAAAGCACACCTGTAGTGCTCGGATATGGTGAGCGAGCAGAGCTGGAAGATGAGGAGTACATCAGCCTCAACAGCACTCTAGAAGGCTTAGTAATTTTGCGGAAGGTAAGTCGCACAATGTTTAACAAACTATCATCGCGTGCTGACTCAAACTTGCAGAACCCTGATTGGGAAGCTGAGAAATAGACGGGTTGAACTTGTTATGAGCATGGTTCTGGTTTGTAAAACCAGGCAAGTTACAAACGTCAGACTTAATTACACTGTATTCTATGATAATCTGCCGTAAGCGCAGTAAAGAAGCGGGTAGGAATACGCATTATGATAGACGGAGAAACCAAGTTTCGAGTTTTATCTTGGTTCAAAAGCAACGTGCCATGTCGATTGATGCTGAACCGAAACTGCCTATACTGTCAAAGCTGATGCTACCCTCTGAATCAATGTAAATAAACCACGCCTTTGTAATAATGCCAACCGTATCTGTCCATGCTGTCTATCATTGTGGCCCTCATGGCGAGGATAAGAATCTATATGCAGTGTTTTCCGAAAAAATAACAAATTCCCCTTTTCCAACATCGTCGACTTCCTACCATGTTTTGGGCCCGAAGCGTTCACCTTCTGGGAGGGTATTATATGAGCATGCTTGCCAGTCACAGCCCTGCTTGTACACTTCAGTGCCCCACCACTTGAGGTTCTTTGCAAGCCCAGGGTAGATGAAGCCGAAAAAGACAACTACTATACCAAAGGCAAGCCCAGAATCGAGGGCGGCGCTCAAGGTCATGGTGTACTTGCTCCACCAGGCATTGTGGCGGTTCTTGATAAGATAGTTGAAGACGTAGCATACGAGTACCCAGACGGAGAAGTTGAGGCCTGTTGCAGGAGGTATCCAGGACATGGCGCCAAAGATAACAGGGAGGTTAACCTTGCGGAGAATACTAGAGGTGTTACGTCGACAGTAAAGCCACAGGGGAATGGGGAGGAGAGCGCCAAGGGGGAAGAACCAGACCAGGGAACGATATATGGCCTTCGGACCGAAGAATTCGTTAGGTCCAACGACACCCCACAGAATGGAGCCGTTGAAGTGCACTCTTGCAATGGGGCAGGTGAATCCATTGAGAGCCTCTGAAGTGCAAATGCCTTTGATGTTTGCGAACATCCAGTTGAGCACACCAATCTGAGTCAGCGACGAGACAAGTGTCGCGACGATCTGAACAAGAAAGAGGATGCGAGGAGGAATCTTCATGTAGTGGCCGAGTTTAAGGTCGGAAGCGAATTTGATACCTTGCGCTGATGAGATGTAGCCGTATGTAACGAAAACCATGTTTGCGATGGGGCGACCGGGGAACACAACACCGCAGATAAGTTGACAGATGAGATAGATGCTGCTGTGTTGGTTTGTGACGGCCATGATGATACCATTGGGGATGAAAAACAGAGCTCCAAGGCCAAGCGCGAGAAGGAGGCCGTACCAGGGCAAATGGACGGGATAGCTAGACCAATTAGCAATGGAAGGCAATTGAATAAACTTGGGCGGAGACTTACTATTCAACAACAAAGATGCCGATAGCAGTCATGGAGAGAAATGTGATTAGATACCAACTCAGAGGGGCATCCTTGTATCTCTTCATGAGTTTGCTGTGAATATCTTCGCGGCTAATAATTCCATCTACATGAGAAGTGGATGTTGACATGCGCCTATGGTCCTCGTCGAGCGATTGCCGTGGTAAAGGCCCAGGAGAATCCGCAACCGGTTCATACTTTGGCTGCCCATCCTCGCGAGCCTCCTCAAGTGCTCGTTTCCAAGACCTCCATATATCCTGACCGTGCCAACAGGCAGTATGCGTCAGAAGAGCAGCCAGACCAGCGAATTGAACACCATAGCTCAACACGTATGTGATTGGCAAGAACACTCTGCTGTAGCTCTGGTAGGCCTCTCGGTCAAAGAGGAAATCAGGCGTGAGAATCTTGCTGACATCGTAGACCTTGCCCGTGTTGTCGAAAACAGCAGCCGAAAGAATCGGCATGTACGATGAGAAGAGAACGTTGGTGTAGTAGAGAATAGGTGCGATAATCCACATTACCACAGCTAAACCCCCGATAACATTCATAGCAGCCCAGAACGGAACAAGTAACGGTGAGCCAACGTAGGTCACTTGCGCCCAGTCAAAGGTCAGGGGAAAGAGCCCAAGGCCGGAGGAGACGCCGAACAGGTTTGCGATAACTACATTTTTGGGCGCAAACCAGGTAATGACGTTGAAATAGCTGAGTGCCGGCATAAGTAGTCCAGGGAGAAAATAGAAGAGGAAGGATATGGTCCAGACGATGTAGAAGAATTTCCACCTGCTAATGGTCCAGCCTCCGGCAGGTTTGTTCTCCTGTTTGTGAAGCGTCGAGAACATAGCTGCCGACATGAGAGTCCCGGGCCAGATCATTCCACTGGGTCGAACAAGGAAGCGGCGTGTTATGCCTGCGAAGCCATAACCGAGAATCTGGGTGGATATAGTGAGAAGAAGCTGGTACACAATAGGAGCTTCCTGATTGTAGAACTGAGTCTGCTCAACAATAACATCTGTCGCAAAGGCGAAGCCAAATGCAACATTGCTGCTAACATAGACGCAAGTATGCTCTTTTTCGTTCCAACGACCTTGCGCTAACCATCTCCTCCAACGCGTGCGTCTCTTGATCTTATGCGGCCCATGCGAATCGTCACTGACGGAAGTCGTCCGTACACCATCGATAAACTCCTCCTCGGGGTCATAAGGACGCTTCAGCACAAAATCCCACAAATGTCCAAGAGGATGGACAAGCAATAAGGCAATAACTGGAGTAATGGCAACACTGGGGTATCTTAAGGAGAAGAACAGATTGGTCGAAGAGCCTAGAATGGCGAAAATGACAGAGAGACACCACATGCGTGGCGTATTTATGGAGAGAGTGGTATTGTCTGTAGGCGGAACAGAGGCACGAACAGCCTCGTGAGGCGAGTTTTCTTGATAGTCAGAATCTGATGCGGCCGAAGAGGCGTCATCCAGCAGTGCGCCATCTTCAGACAAGTCGTCCTTCATGCTACCCTCGAGAATACCAGTATGTGTAGGTTCGGTAATGCCCAGGCGGCCTTCAAGGCCCGAGACTAGGACGGCGCCATCGATTTCTTCGGATAGCCTCGAGGATGATTTCTTGCCAAGGACGGAGCGGTGCGAGGTCTCGCTGCGCATTGTATCCGGAACGTGACGAAGCTGGTGGGAATCGGGATCCCAGCGATCACTACCAGCGGGTGAATTATTGCGACTGGGTGTTAGTGAGACCGAACCGTAGGGAGCAGCATCGGAGCGAGCGGCGGCGGAGCGCAAGAAGGGCGTCTTCTTGGAAGCCATACCTATAGTGTCGTCAATGGGTTGAGAAATGGCATCTAGACTATCGTCGGAATCGATATGATGAAGAGGCTGCGCCGCATCTTGATCACCAACGAGAACCGGTGGAACAGCAGCTGAGGTTGGAGCCGAAGCGTGAATAGAAGTAGATGCAGGTGTAGATGCAAATGCAAATGCAAATGCAGCTGGGGTAGCAGCGGTACTTAATGATGGAGGAGGTATATGAGAGGCCGGAGCCTGATACGGCAAGACATGACCCTTGGCTTGGACTGGGTGTGAGGGTGAGACAGTCACGGTGGACCTGGCAGAGGATGAGGATGCAGACGTGGATGTGGATGTTAGGGGCTGAAGGGCGACGTCCTGGCGGAGTGGAGGGGAATCACCAGCAACCCTGTCTCCAACCCTCTCCGCCAGGGACGAAGACGCTGAAGATTGGCGGCTTAGGCTTCGTTTACTGGAGGAGATGGAGGCCGAGGATGAGTTGGTGGTGTGTTTACCCATGGCGGGGGCGTGTATCGTGGTGTATCAATCAATATCTGGCTGGCTACCCTACCTCTAGCTATGGATATGGATGATATCCACACTATCGTTGACTAACAAGCCAAGCCAGCGTGAACGAAATAGGTAGCGGCTTTTGAGGGGCGTGATCGAACGGGCTCCAGCTCTCATCGATCTGGCGTGTGGCATTGCCTTGTAATGGTATGGAGCAACATCAAAAGGGCCCTGATACCATAAGAGAATGTGGTTAGAGGGGCCGTCCGCTAGCAAAGTGCCTCAAAAGTATTGGATCCAATTGACAGCAGGTGGATGGCATTAATGACAACAAAGCATATAGAAAGGCAGTGATAGGTAGAAAGACATAAAAAAAGCAAGGCCACGGCGCGTTACGGGAATGCCCATCAAGCAAGCAAGAGCTTTTGGAGGACAGCCCTGTCTTTACGCGTGGGGAGTTCAAGGGTTTTGAGTGGGTGGTGACCAAGATGAAGCGGATGACTAGGGGAGTCGGTGACGGGATGACGGCAGTCTCCCTAGGTACTGAGGCAGGACAATATTGAGCATTGTGCATTGAGCATTTGACATGAGTTAATAGTACAGTAGTCAGCTCGGGCAATGGCTTTTGGTACGATTCAGAGAGTATGCGGTGTATCAGAAGAATAGACCACATGACCATTGATGTGGGCGATGAATTTCATGCTGAATAGCACTATTGATAGTTGCATGACTTACAAACAACGCTTCATGAAGGTGCCAGGAATGAAAACTATCCAATTGCAATTGACAAATGATTGGGCAGCCAACAAGTGCCATTCCACAAGGGAACACTCATATCTTTGCCAAAATGAATGAATGGCTGGCTGTCTTTCATCTCACATGGATGTTCATTGTCTGCCGGCCATTTGTTCATCAGTTTCATAGTTCTGGGAGATTTTGGTGTCATACCAATTCAGACACAAGAGGTATTACTCACAGCCTTAAAGTGGCTGCAGCATACTGGTGTTTCACAAACCACAGAGATGCTCTTGATCTCTATCTTTCCTTATTCTCAGTCATATAAACCCTTGTTCCCGTCTCCAAGGCGCACTGAGCACCAAGCACCTCATCACAACCGGCAGCAAACAAGCGGGCCGAACCAAAACCCCTGGCGTCCCCATCTCGGCTACAGGCTACAGGGAACGTTCAAATTTCTGAGGATGGTTGATGGATCTGATTAGATAACACCCGAAAGATGTGATCACAATCACACACCAAATCCCTGTGTGTTCCAATGGTACCCTGGCTGTCCTCTGTCTGGCCTGCTTGGTCGTCTCTGTCGCTATGAGAGCATCTAGGAACCGTTCCTGACCCCTTGACGATCCAGATAGATAGCTCAACAGCCTCCGAACCTTATGATACTGAACTTGTAGATCTGCCGCTGTCTGTTAGTAATCGAGCAATTATACTTGAGCCTTCTGTCTCGTTGCGAAACGATCTGGTAGTGAGCGAATCCCATTCCTCTCTATAAGGTAGACAGCGGACCCTTGAAAGCATTTCTTACGACACCCCCAGTCCCTTGAAGGAATTCGGATCCTCATTTCAGACATCCCACGCGTTAACCACCCATGCTCAAACTTGTTCCTCGTCAGCAATGCCTGAGACATGGCTTTAGCTAGCGAGGATTGGGTTGTTCGTCCCAACTTCTGAGCAATAGAATGTCGCCTATTGCAAATGATGAGCTTTTTCTGGCACATGGTGAACCATGAGACACGGACAATTTTTCATGGTCTGTAGCACCAGGCTCTAATTACCTGTGCCATTTGAGAATTTCTGCCAATCCGAGACCTGGCAATTCAAACAATCTGATATCAATTGCATTTCAAATCGTGGTCTGCAGCCTACCTAGTTACTTGCTACCTACCTACCTGGTGGAGATAATATCTCCTTACGTTATACAGTGCTTACAGACAGTCATGCATGGTTGCCAGTTGATGAGTGTTATGAAGCCCCAGGTCGACACCGTCTTCATGAAAGTCGTTAGTACGTACTGAGCCGTCTTTTTCGTCGCTCCCAAAGCCCAGATCGATGGTTGCCGCTCCCAAATATTCCCATAGCCTTCGCGTGGGGGTTACCATCAGGTTCCTTGTACAGACTCCGCAACAGCCGAGCAATCCACAGCCTCCAAACATTCGCTTTGTCGTCTTTTCATCAGCATCCGCCATTGTCGACTGAAATCCAGATTCAAAGACTATTGAAGTGGAATTAGGCTTTCATTTTATCTCCTCGGGCCTCACCGCCGATGCTGCCTGTCATGTCTCAACATTAGACGGCGTCGGCTTCCGTTCACATGATGGCGATGACGCCAGAGAGCGATTTGGGTTCGGCGCGTATCCGCTCCGTCGGTCCCAAGGGCGTGTCACACCCGGAGCTTTTTATTCTTAGCGCAGCATCCTTCCGTGGTGGGTTCTCCAGCACGTTATCCAAAATACAGTTTTCCACCAACAAACAGGAACAATCGCCAATCCACCATCTTGGTTCATCTGTCTTGTCAGCCTCGCCATGGCGTCATCCCTTCCTGCTGCTAAGCAGCAGCTGAGAAGTCTCATGAAGCAGAAGCTGTCCAAGATCACTCAGGACTCCATCACAACTCAGAGTATGACAACCAACCAATCACTCATTACCATGTCGTGTGTCTATTCGTAGAACGCTTCCCCTAACACCAGTCGTGCAGGTCGCTGTATTTTCGAGGCCTTGAAAGAGTTCCAGCCTTACAAGGATGCTCGGCGCGTCAGCATCTATCTGTCTATGCCGACGGCTGAGGTCCAGACAGATGCTATTGTGCGCCATGCCTTGTCCGCTGGCAAGCAGGTCTTTGTTCCTTACTTACATAAGTCGCCTTTCCAAACACCGGACACTCCAGCTCGGGTAATGGACATGGTTCACCTAAAAGACGTCCATGATTATGAGAGCCTCAAGTTGGATAAGTGGGGGATTCCCAGCGTGGACCCAACTACTGTCGATGCGAGAATACGTATACTCGGTGGTTCAGACGTTCAGAATTCAGAGCCTGCAATTCTAGACTTCATGGTTGTGCCCGGAGTCGCCTTCGACTTTGACCAGTCAGGGTCGATTCGACGCCTTGGTCACGGCAAGGGCTTTTATGACTTTTTTATCAACAGATACATGGCAAGACTCGAAACAAAGGGCATAGCGCATGACAACCCGCTACATTTGTATGGCTTGGCCTTGACAGAACAGATGGTAGCTGCTACGTCGGAGCTTCAGATTCCCACAGACACTCACGACCGTAGACTCAATGGCCTTATTCTTGGAAACGGCGAGGTCAAAGCCGGAGTACATGAATCTTCTACTTCGCGATATCCACGACAAGATCTATAGCATTAAAATCGAAGGGCATGGAATAAGATTTGGGCCACGTGATATTCCCAGGCGGGTACACGTACAATAGGTTCAGCTGTTGTTTAGATAAGGTACCTAGTTGACAAACTGTTCTCAGCACAAACACGAAGCTTTGTTATCAGGTATCACGAATCGAATGTTCGAGTCTCGTGTTTTTCAACTGTTATTGATCATACCAGAGATGTGGATGTCTTTCGTCCATGAGGTGCGCCATGTTAGTCAAGCTTGGAGATGTCGGTTAATATCCGGGCGGTTGCCCCGCCATGACGAGCAACCTAAGAATCGTAAATACTTCTGGTAGGCACTTATCCTGACCTTAAACAAACTTTAGCCAGGTCATTGAATCACCTGCTCTCTTGAATTTCCGAACTTGTTTGCCTTTTGGGCTTCGTACTATATTTCCATTCTTCCCTTCCTTATCAACTGGTTCTCTCGACTTATACTCTCGCCAAAGTTTTCCCTCGCGATCCATCGGAGCCTCATCGACCCTAACTGCTGCCCCCCTTTGCATGCGCCACTACCTACGAGGGTCGATCGTGCGCATCATAGCCATATACCCCGATACTCAACTTTGATATCCTCTGCTCGCCCTTCAAGACGAAATGGCTTCCAACGGGGCCCAGGAGGCTTTTGCGCCGCCTGATGTGCTGGCTGCTGTTATGACTATGAGGAGCGGGGAGCAAGAGGCCAAGAAGCACGCCCACGAGTACTTGGAGAGGTTTCAGAAATCAGTGCGTCGCTGGAAGCTCCTTACTATACGGCTAGTTCGCTAATGTTGGATATGTATAGAAGGATTCATGGGCAACTATAATGGGTATTCTGCAGTCCGATGCTGAGCCAGAGGCAACCCTCTTTGCGGCCATTACCCTGCGTGGAAAGGTTTGAAGATTGTGATTTACACCTCGGCCTCACTATTAACTTCTCCCTTCTAGATCACATACGACCTCTCTACCCAAGTTCCTGCGAGCGAACTGCCTGCCCTTCGAAACCAAATCCTCCTACTTCTAAAGCACTTCGCCCCGGGACCCAAGCCTATCCGTGTCCAGCTCTGTGTGTGTCTGGCCATTCTAGCGATCCAAATGAAGGACTGGAACGATGTTCTGCCTTCTGTCGTTCAGTCGCTTAGTGACAGCCCCGAGAGTCACGCCTGCATTCTGGATTTCCTGAGGGTTCTCCCTGAAGAAGTCACCGAGGGTCGAAAGATCACCTTGTCTGTACGTGGATCGCGCAACCATAGATCGGAAATTCGCTTCTTTCGAGATTGTCAAATCCGGTCGACCTCAACACCAGTTCAAGTCTAATTGTTTGGAATTAGGAAGAAGATCTTGCGATGCGAACGCAGGCTCTCTTGGCCGATAATGCGGACCAGGTCGTACAACTCCTTATCAACTATTCTCAGTCCTCACGTAAGTTGCACGGCCTTCCACCACTGCCAGGATACTGACATCTGTCGCAGCCGCAGCAGCTCAGAACCCCCAGTTGATGGAGTGTATCACCTCCTGGCTCCGAGAGGTCCCAGTAGGCAATGTTGTCAAGTCGCCTCTAATGGACATTGTTTTCAACGGCACAACCAGCGATGCTTGTAGCCAGGAGGCTTCCGAGTGTCTTTGCACCATGCTTAGAGAGACTAGCGACGTGGACGAGAGTCAGGAGATCATCGAGCTACTATTTCCACGAATCATCTCCTTGAAGCCCCAAGTGGCCAAGGCAGCCGAGGAGGATGACACAGAGACACTCAAATCTTTGACCAAGGTGTTTGCAACTGCTGCGGAAAGCTGGGTCGTTGGAATCGCCCGCCAACCTACGCACTTCCGACCACTGGTTGACGCTGTGCTGGAATGCGCCTTGAGAGACAAGGAGCGCGATGTTATTGAGCATACCTTTAACTTTTGGTACGAGCTCAAGCTCTATCTTGTGCTGGAGATTTATATCCAAGGTCGGCTTGAGCTAGTTGATGTCTACTCCAAGTTGGTGGATATTCTCTTGAAGCACCTCGAATACCCTAAGCCGGACTCGGGTAACGAAAATGACCTGTTTGACGGAGATCGCGAGCAGGAAGAGAAATTCAGAGAGTTTCGACACCAGATGGGCGACACACTAAAGGATTGCTGCGAGGTGATGGGCGTTACGGACTGTCTCACCAAGGTTCTCCAAGCAATTCAGCTTTGGATGTCAAAGTACGCCAACCAAGTGAACGACAACTCGGTACCTCACTGGCAGGAGCTGGAGGCGCCTTTATTTGCCATGCGCGCTCTCGGTCGCATGGTGGACAAGGATGAGAGCATTGTGCTTCGCCAGCTCATGCCTCTCCTCGTACAGATGCCGAGCCACGAGAAGCTCCGTTTCGCAACCATCATGGTACTCGGTCGCTATACTGAATGGACGGCTGCTCATCCGGAATATCTCGAGCCCCAATTCAACTACATCGTCACATCGTTCCAGTCGGATTCCAGGGAGATTATCCGCGCCGCTGCCTTGGCTATCAAGTTCTTCTGCACAGATTGCAAACACCTCCTGAGTGGCCAAGTGCTGCAGCTTCAGACCTTCTATGATGAAGTGCTGGATAAGCTCCCAGACTTGAGTAAGGAAGAGATCACAGAAGGCGTTGCTAACGTTGTGGCTTGCCAGCCCACGGAGGAGATTTACCGATTGCTCAAGCTATACTGCGACCCATTGATTCAGCGTTTGATGGCCAAAGCCAATAATGCTGCGGACGAGGAGGGCAAATTGGCGCTCGCTGGTAAGCAAGCCCGAATTCATGTCAAGAGGCAAGACTAACACCGTTTTAGATCATCTGCAGCTCATCACCATCTTTGTTCAATACGTCTTGCCCCTTGTGAGCCCAGGTCAAGAGAACCCTGCTGTCAAGTACTGGCAGGAGGTTTTCCCCATCCTTTCCACCGTACTGGACAACTTCTTGAACTTCACTCCCATCTGTGAGCGCGTCTGCAGGTGCTGGCGCAATATGGTCACTGCCCACCGCACGGCCATGACCCCTTTGCTCCCGGAAATGGCAAACAAGCTTGCCGGCGGCTTCAACAACTCAAGGGAAGGATGTTTCTTGTGGGCCAGTTCAGCAATTCTGCGCGAGTTCTCTGAAGCACGAGAGCACGTTGACCAAGCCACTACTGAGAACATTTACACATTTTTTGAAGCCCAGACAACAACCTTCCTCCGAGTTATGACAGAACTACAACCTAAGGAACTTCCTGACGTTATTGATGACTTCTTCCGCCTTGTGATCGACGCCCTGCTCTACTACCCCCAGAGGCTCATTCCATCTCATCTTCTGAGGTCTATCTTTGAGGCGTCCATCTACGCTCTAACTCTAGAGCAGCGTGACCCTCTGTCCTCAACGCTGCATTTCCTCCGCGATCTCTTGTCATACGGTGGCGATAATCCTGCCAGTAGCGATAGGCTACCGGAGGCAACGGCTGCTGAGGTCAAGGCCATTGTCAAGAATTTGCTACTTACTCTTGGCGAGGATCTGGTCAAGCAGGTCATGGCGGGCATGATGATCACTTTCCCCCGCGACTGTTTCGCTGATGGCAGTGGTGTTCTGCTGGCTTCGTTTGAGCTGGTCCCTCTCCAGACTCACCAATGGGTCTCGCATACAATACAGCTACTACCAGAGGGCACTGTTTCCCCTCCTGAGGCCAACAGATTCCTGATCAAGATCAAGGAGAGGCTTGAATCGGGAGACCCAAGCGCCATGAGCAATGTGCGCGCGATTCTGCAAGATTTCACCAATACTTACAGACGACGAAATGTAGCACCCCGCGACGGACTCGGCCAGCTCGAGGCCACGCGCTTCCAGTTTTCCGGTTAGGCGAGGCTATGGACTTAATAAGAAGATAGTGGAGGCTCTTTGTTAAGCGCAAATGGGCGGACTGGTTTGGTGCTCTGTTGCTTCTTGACACAACTTCTAGCCGGTATTAGAGGGACAAGATGGACACGTGGGGAATCTGAAGTGAAGACCATTAGATATGTATGTATACTGGGGTTAATCGAGGATAATTGAGCGTTTCTTTGACGGGAAAACGGGACGGACTCTTTGGAAGGCATAGCGAAAAGCATTAACAATTAGTACGCCTGTGGAAGGTTAGTCGCCTAGAACAGAGCGGTATGATGTGAAGAGTATGTGTAGATATAAAAGCAAGAATTTCGTATTATATTCTTTTGGTAGAGTGGCGTTTCTGATATGAAGCTATTCCCCAGCATCTGAGTATATGAGATGCGTCCACACTCAGACCAAGAGGGTGCCAGTCTCACTGGTTTGCTGGCCCTGATGGTAAAGAGACTGTATTGAAAAGGCACTGGCCCGCTCGATCGCTGGATAGAGATGTCAACAAAGAAGCAGATGCGGCCCAGGGGGTCCATCTGATGCACTCGCACATCACAATGGTCAAGTCTCAGCAAACCAGTCAAGACAAAAAGATGCTCAAGGACAAGGGCGATTGGTTAGAAATGGTATTATAGTTACTCTCATGGATGTCCCATCTGCGAACTTTGCCCGATTCTTCTCAAGTTCTTTGTGCATCAATCAAGAATGGATGAACACTGAATGACACTAGACGAATAATGGAACTGATAGATCTAAATCGAGTATCAAAGAGCCTTACGGTGTTCTGTGGGTAGCCAAGGGAGATTCTTGAACAAAGACGCTTCACGTTGGTTGACATATGTTGAACAAAGGATCCAGTGCTTGGGCGAGGGAACATTGAGTTGATAAGATCAAGAACGCCAGCCCAAGTCTTGGACAATCTTTGGCCATTCTTTACATTACGTATCAAGATTTATGAACAGGACTCTCATTGTTTCTAGTATTTATGTTGATGTGCAGTCCGGCTCTGACAAACTGGCTCAAAGAGCACAATTTGGTTCCAACTTATCTGCCCTCAAATACTTACAGACAAACTCCCTAAGTGAAAAGTACCGTATCATTCATCGATAGTGGAACAGCCGAAATTTCCCTCTCGAGACTATAACAAAATGTCGCGAAACCCTAACGGCGGCATGCTTCCTGATGATGAGAGCCAGAATCAGACTGGAAATCAGGGTCAAAATCCAGGCCAATATCCCAATCAGTATTCGATACATGGGAATTCGTGGGATCCAAGCTTGAGCAATACAGCTCCCAATGAGCGTGTTCAGACTTATAACGGACAGAACGCTGGCTTGAACCCTGGGGGGCAACAACCTCCGATGCTCCAAGTACAGTATGCGAACCAGCCGAACCCTTCTCAGCCGGAGAACTTGAACTGTGAGACGCAAGATATACCTAAGATGTCCCACGATATTCTCGACGAGATATTCAAGCGCCCTGCTCTTAATCCCCAGGCACAGGCTCAGGCTTGTGGTTCGGCTCTGTGTCGGCTTCGGCATCTGCTACAGAGGTACACAGATAATGTGGCAATGATTCCACCCGACAACGATTCTTCTCTTCACGTTCCAAATCTATTTCCAATTGAAGGTCCTGGTTCAGCTGACCTTAACCCGAATAATACGGGGAACGTTGATTATTCGCCTGCGGAACCTGCACCTGTTGAAAGTCAACATCAGCCTCATTCCACTGCAGGTCATCACAATGTGGTCAACAATTCTCTTGCTCTTCCCACTCCTTCAACTTTTCAGTCATCATTTGGTGGCCCCAGTCCCAAGAGACGTCATGCGGCTTCTCCAGATGCCACGGCGCCCGCTCCGAAAAGGATGAGAAATCTTCAGCCAAGCACTTCTGGCGACAAAGGAGACAACGCCAACAGCTCTGAAATCCCCGGTCCCACCTCAAACACAACGCCATCTTCACCAAAACAGCCCCAGAGAACCAGGAAACGGAAAGCGGATATTGATGAAGAGGAACACGATGATGAAGATGATCTTCTTTCGGATCCCAGGCCGCAAAAGAAGCTCAGGGGAGAACCGGCTGCCTCCAAGACGAAGAGCAAGGGTCTCAAAGATCTCAAGAAAGAAGATCATGAAAAGGTCGATGCGGAGACAATTTGCATCTTTTGTCGTGAAAACCCCCAGAGCAAGGGATGTGACTGGGAACAGGTCAGACAAAGCAACGGCCCTGAAGTATATGATCTAGAATGCACCAACTGCGCCGATCACCGCTCTAAAAACAAGGATAACCCAGAGCTGGCCGACCATAAGTGCCTGGTTCAAGGTCCTAAAACGCTGATCCACTTCGAGCACAAAAGGTACGGCGTTGACGATCCTCAAGGATATGAGGAGACGGCTTGCAACCTATGTGTCAGGAGGAAACAGGGAGAAACATGCGATGTCGATACGACACTAGGCTACTCTTGCCTCAATTGTCGAAGACTGGGGGAGTGCAAGGTTGGCCTGTCTGAAATGCCCTTGAGACGGCCAAAGAAGCTCACACGTCGACCGTGGTACCGACATCCATGCGATCGTTGTTTCTTGCATCACAAGAAAGGAGACGACGATTGCTGCAGCTGGATTAAAGACAGGAGAGAGTGGGAGGAAAATCGAGCCTGCAAACAATGTCAAAGAGATGGGACAATATGTTTGGACCTTGGAGAGCGCATGGACGGCTATTCTTTCGATCGCAAGAACATTCCCAAAAGCTGGAAGATACGCTCCGAGTTCGAGGCGAACAAAGAGAAAACAAAGGGAGACAAAGAAAAATGGCATGAATATGCGGAAGTGCTGCCCAACACAACTTGGAGAAAGCCGTGTCAAGGATGCAAGACAGCTGGGAAGATGACTGACTGTCTGGTCATGTGGATCCAGCCTGGAAACGCGTGTGAGCGCTGTACGCAGCTTGGTATCGACTGTATGGTCGAAAAAGAAAACGGTCGTCTTGAACAGTATCCAATCCTCGATTTGAGCAGGGTTGGTTTCGGACAATTCACCCCTTTCAATGCCTGCACGCAATGTGTTAGCCATGGGTTCAACTGTGACCGACAAAGACCATGTGATAGTTGCAGAGGTCGCAAAGCAAAATGCGATGCTTTCAATTGGAAATTGGTTGGATGTATTGACCGCCGCAAGTTAGCCAACAAGCAAAACAAAGAAACCTATATTCCTAGTCCGTTGTACTACCTGGCCTTGGGGTATGGCGCTGGAGGTGTCAACGATCTCAAGGATGGTCAAAAGCTTGAACATTGGATTGGTCCTGCAGCTCCTGTGTACGGCCTGATCAACGCCGAGGATGGTCCAGAGCGTTATCGACGCGTAGCCGATGCTCATCGAAATCATCGCCCGCCTGAGGGCATTGCCTTCCCTCCCATTCCTTCAAACACGCAACTGATGAAGGACACATCTGCCGATGAGTTGCGCTTGTTGATAGATCAGTCATGGCGGCTCGATCACCAACGCCAGGCCCCAAAGGACGATCTCCAAGAGTACCAAGAAGTTTGGGATCGCCTGCGCTACTTCCAAAATCTCCAGATGAAGGACGCTGGTATGGAACCCAACTTGCCACCGCCGATATCTCATGTGCGCTGCTTCCAGGGAGGTCCTGTGCTCTCTGACATTTGGACAAGACATCATATGCTTCCGAGTGCTCTTGGAAATGCGAATGACACGCAATCGCAGGGGTTCTCACAATCACTGCCATACCAACTGCCAGATCAACTTGGAAACATATACAATCCTCAACAAAATGCATCGGCACTACAAACACAGCCATCTCAACCTTCAGCGGCACATCTACCACTTAGTTTTACGGACGACCTGAATGAGCCATACCAAGATCCAGCAGCATTCGAACAAGACGGAGGCTTTAGTCAACAGCAACTACATACCCCTACACAGAATTCACAGCTAATGCGGCCATCCTTAGGTCTAGCTGATCAGCCAATGCATGGTGGCCCCGACCAACAGCCGTTTGACTATACACATGAGGAACTTCAAATGGCACAAGATCACGTTCCGCCAAATCCGCAAGGTTGGGGCAACTTGAATCAAGAGCAGCTAGATCCCTGTTCACGGCAACCGGAACTGTCTCAAGATCAAACAGGTGACCAACAAAACAGTCAAGAATACTGGTTTGAGAAGTTGGCTCAACTAAATCCACCTGTGCAAAGAACCGCAGACGATGAAAGTGGTGAACGTCCGCCCTTTGCTAACAGTGCCATCCTGGCCAAGGATATCGAAAATGACCAACAAGAGCCACACAGTCGTACGCAGGCTCCAGATCAGTCTCCAGAAGGAAGCAACGAATCCCCGGATGAGTTCCCAGAATTGGTAGATTGGGACGGCAAGCAGACACATAGGCGTTCCCAAGTGAGTCGTGGGGAGCGCTGGCTCAAGCCTCAAACGTCTAGAGGCAGCAAAAAGTCATCCCAAGAGAGAACGGCTGGCGGAAACCGGGTGCCCAAGAACGCAAACGGTCGAGATGCTTTCAATCCTTTCCTTGGTTTCACATTCGGTCCGGACCAGAAACCTCGGTTCACGGAGAAGCCAAAGAGCTCACGCTGGAAGGTCTTCAATCCTCTCGAGGGTATTGACATGAGCGAATGGCATGAGTCAAAGTCTAAAGAGCCTGAAGAAGAGTCTCAGATTCGCCTCTTTTCCATTGTCAATGGTCAAACAAACCAACCAACACCTTGGCGTAATGTTCTTGGTGACGTGCCTCGCGAAGAGAAGGTTATAAGGACAAAGCGTTATTGCGCTGAACCGGGAGAGGGCGGATGGGGTTCATGTGCCGCTTGGAACACTGATGGGCAAGGTCAGGCTACTTGCCAGAGTTCTGCGCATCGCAACACAGCCCTGCCACACTTCCCAGTATGCAATGACTGTACCCGGGGCAACGTCAAGTATTTGTTCCAGCATGAGCACAATCCCATAACTGAAAGCGAACTGCTCAGCATGCGTGCTTATCTCTGCAATGAGTGTGCTGGTCAGATGAGCGCCGGTGCTCCGAAGGCAGTCCAGAATCAAATTGTCGGCACCAGACGGGTATATGGCATTGCAGCTGATGAAGCGCAGTCCCAAAACAGACAGGAACTGGTCAATGACCTCTCAAAAGCCGCCAACCTCGAGAGGGATACCGAGGCTCTGACAGGCTGTTCGTGTGCCAACAGAATGCTAGGAACATCGCTCTGCCGGTTCCATAGGTTGTACTATGCCGAAGAGGTTATGAAACACGCGGCATTGATGCAAGAATGGCGGCTTTCGCGCTTCAAGAAGGCAGTGTGTCCCAGTTGTCTTGCGCAAAAGCCCAGTGAGCAGGTCAATGTTTCGGCCAACGTCGATGGTTTTGTACCGGGCGCGCCGACGGCATGGGCTTGTGTCGTTTGCAATGACTGGGTTGTGAATGAACAGAACGACGTGAACAACCAGCCAAAGGCGATTGATAAGCCGCTGTGGAATCTAAATATCGGGCGCAGGCTTCTCGGTCCGGAGGAGAGATAGCCACCGGCAGGGTTCTGGGGGAAGTGGTGTCTGTCTAGATAATGAATGGCTGAAAACACTGGTTCATGTGAATTTAAGGTGGGAGGATTCCGGAGTTTGGCGTTTCTGAGACATCGAACCTAGGTTTGCAATTGACTTATCAGTTTTCATACGTAGCAAGATGCCGACGACGCAGATAGGCTGAGACTGACCTAACATAGCGAACCAGGAACTTGACCACCCTGTCATGCACGAGAAACTCAAGGGGATGCACTGATGAATCTCGGATATGAAGCATTCCGGATTGTTTTATGAGAAAAGCCATGTGGCTGACAACACAGTCGAACGGAATGTTCTGCATCAAGAGACAAAAGACGAAGATGTTTGAACCGCAAGAAAAAGGGATGTGTGCTTGTATTGTCTGACTGACTGAACCATTGCTGCTGGAGAGAAGGAGACCTCGAGATTGACAAATAGAAAAAAAATAGAAGCAAAAAATTACATGTATGAAAATAAGGATATAGAGAATCTGAAGCCGTACTTTGAAAAATTCATCCTCCCCGGCAACACAAAACAAAAAAAGGAAATGGTCGGGTGAATTTTATCTCTCGCGAGGTCCTGAGGATGGGATGAGTAGCATTGCATTTAGTTGCATCTGGCATTCGCAATGCTTGCAGCAGACTCCCTCCCCTGTCTTTCTGTCTCTTCCAGTATCAAGACGATTCTTTTCTTTGTTTATCCACAACGTCCAAGATAGCGAGCCACTCCAGAGAAACGCCGATCCATGTTCCATGTCGTATGGATCGTGGGTCATAAAGCATGAACCATCGGCATTGCGCACAAAGACACATTCTCTGCCATAAGCACGCCGGGTCCCTAAATCCCATATCGCTGGGTATCTCCGTTGGCTGCGTCCAAATCAAATGTGAATATGAACCCAGATCCTGACTCCCGTCCGATGCAATCAACTTTTCATCTCCGTGCTCTTCCTAAAGCCTATTGGTTATATTGCATCCTCACATCATGTCGCGTGCAGTTGACAGAAACCAGACATATCGGGTATATCCCGCCGATCGCATCCGCCTCGTCTCGAGATGTTCTCCCTTTCGCCCTTGGATATTATTCCCTTTACATCAGTACACACTTGGCACAACATCCAGCTTCTTGCTCGCCGTTGTCCATATCCATGGGCTTTGGGGGACCGTTCGCTCCTGAAGTACCACCGCTACCAGTTGAGTAGCCTTGCATCTCACGGTTATATCTTCGGATCTCTCGTACGATATCGTAGAAGGCCTTGTCGACGTTGATTCGGGACTTGGCGGATGTTTCGATGAACTTGCAACCGAACGACCTTGCAAGTGCCTCTCCCTCTGTTTCCATTGTCAGTGATTCATGCCAAAGTTAATTGGTAATAGAACATACCCTGTCGTGACACGTCTCGATCGCCTTCCAGATCGCACTTGTTGCCAACAACGACCATGGGGAAATAGTCCTTATCCTTGACTCGCAGAATCTGTTGCTGGAAGGTGGTGATTTCCTCGAAACTTTGTCGCGAAGTAATCGAATAGACTAGCAGAAATCCCTCTCCAGTTCGCATGTACTGCTCGCGCATGGCGCTATACTCCTCTTGGCCGGCTGTGTCGAGGACATCGAGCAGTGCGACCTCCTCGTCAATGACACACTGCTTTCGGTACGAGTCTGTAGTTGACAGTTGATTAATACTGCTCCTGACGCGACGTGATGGTCACGCAAATAAATCTAGAGTCACCAACCTTCAATCGTGGGGTCATACTCGTCGACGAAATGGCTCTGGATCAACTGAATAGTCAAGCAGGATTTGCCGACACCACCGCCGCCTACAACAACGAGCTTGTACTCTCGCAGGAACTAATGAAAGGTCAGCAACACGATCGATCATGCGTGGCGAAATGTGGCAGTGTTATGTCGAGAAGTTCCATGACAGATGCTGTTGCTGCCGGGGCAATGTGGTTTCGCGCTTTACCTTTGTGTTCGCAGCCATTGTGATTAGAGTTCAAGATGCGCTCCCTGATAATGATATCTCTTGACCGGGACTTGTCGTCGTGAATGAAGATCCGGACGTCGCGAGAAATGAACTTGTCGAAAGGCGAACAACCAAGGACAGGACGAGATGAGATGATTCAAGGTGAAAGGCGCTCTTTGCGGTCGACACGAGATGATGCGAGGAACAAAGGGAGATGGGGAATAGGACGAAATGAACTGAACCGGATTGAATTGCACTGAATGGTTTGCCGCTGGGGCGAGCGGATTCTAGCTTTGAATGTGTGGAGAGAGGGAGAGACGATTCGAATGGGCCAAATGGGTTCGAAAAAAAAGGTCAAAGCAGAAGAGTCGAGGGTAGACTGAGAGTGACCAGGAGAGGGAAGGGGAACAAGGCCTGAAAGGGGAAAGGGTCGAAAGGCCAGGGTAGGAAAGCATTGGATCCTGGAAGGGGAGCAAGGGACTGGGAAGGGAAGGGGAAGGGGGGGGG